CCCCGGCTCCCTGTCTCCATATGACCCTAGTGTCTGCAAGAACTTTAAATAAAAATTTAAAAACTAAACTTACAAATTACGGTTCCAGAATGAAATACCTCATCACGTACATCACAAGATTTTTTAATGTATAAACACAAGCGTATAGAAAATGTAAAGAATGAAAGTCGTCTTAAACTGAATCGGTCGTACGTTCTTCATTCGAGACACAAGGCATTGTACTCTGCTGGCGGACTCTACCGCGGTAACCCGTTTTTGCGATAACCAAACTTATATCTTTTTAGGAATGCATGGATCAAAATGTATACACTTCTTCAACTTTTGTAATTTGTGTACGTTAGGGGTTTAAGTTCATATCTTCACACCTCCTCTTCTGTTTCAACTTTTGATAAGACCATTGAATTGTCCACCTTTTGCGAATACTGGCATCAATGATGACTACTAGAGGTACAAAACAGCTGTGTGGTGCAATCGAATTCATATTTTTCCATGCAAGTTCCTTACGTGTACTAGACTTATTAGGTAAAATCACTCGTGTGTGTGTCTTACGTTCATCAACGCAGATCCATTAAGAAAAGAAGAGAATAACCACGAAAGCGTTTAAAATATAAAACAAAAGTAAATATGGACAAATCACCAGTCACTAAGGCAAAGTAAACAGTCGATATATGTGCAACTTTAAAACAGTTAAAACTTCAGAGAACCTAAAACAGCGATCACTCTGAGATATAAAGGGAATCAGTTCCAAGGAATATCACTGCTTTCCAACTGAATTGAAGAAATTGATTTCATGCTCCATGCCTGTTTTGAAAACCTCCATGGCTTTGGTGCGATCGAACTTTTCCCCTTCCTTGTCAATGAATTCTATTATACCCGCCAGAGTACTTCCGCTGACAAAGTTGCTCGCGACCCATTGGTTGTATGCTCCATGATTTGTCTGCAATAGTACAATATTATACACATGATTTTGAATATGTTTAGTCTCGATATACNACGTATGATGTCAGGCAATGCTGCGGAGTGAATTTTACAGGAGCTTGTTACCCTGTATCAGCAGTTACGATCACTGCGGTTGGAGTCAGAATCTTTGTTGTGTGTCCCAAAATCTCGTACTGTGACCTAATGAAACATATGCTTTGGGAGGGTTTCGGCTACGTCGTGGAATAGTTTACCATCTGCTATTAGAAAGTAAAATGCCCTGGCCAAGTTCAAGAGGGACATCAAAACCTCTTCACGTCTGCATTTTAGAATCCTTGAAAAGACGACATGTGCACATTGTTTGCTTAAATGTATATAAGTGATTGTAAGCCTTTGTTTTTTTTGTTCTCACAATTATAACCATTACTATTATCCGTATGTTGTAAAGCGCTTTAGAGTAATTTTACAAATTATATAGGGCGCTATATAAATGCTGTATATTATTATTATTATGTAACTATCAATGGTTAGGAAGTAATCTAGTGATATGTCCTAAAAACGCAACATTATTCGAGAACCTCACGTGAACATTTTCCCACGACTGTTTCATCCCGCTTGCGCGAATTTGTTGTGAAAAGCGGTGTTTATCATGATTGGAAGTGTATACGACTCGTCACGTTTTTTGTTTCATTTACTATGCACGGATATGAAATATGAAAGAACTTTCGTGTGTATGTCGTTGGAAGAATATAATGTGTCGTGATTCTGACCCCACATCCCATCGGGGTTTCTGTTGGTACATGTACATGAAGTATCGGCCTCGCTATTTCCGAAACTGAATTATTTTCAAAATACTACTTATACATGTAATTTTTCAAGGCGAGTTTCGTTTATGTAAAGGGGGACAACTCTAACGGCAATGGCCTCAATGCATAGATACCCATTATCGTCATACATACCCCAATTTGGGTTCCCAGCCAGGCCCACAGCTTTAGACATGGGCTCATTGACACAAGGAAATAGATTGTATCCATGTTTTGGGCTGCATTTTCTACAAAGTCTATGTAGGCCTGGCATGCACTGTCTAGCTTGATTGCAGAAGAATTATTGATGTGCAATCTGTTGAATGCAGCTTCGTAATGCCTGCAATTTAACAGCGTGCATGTTTGGAGGACGACAATGACTAGAATTAAAATCTGAACAAAACGTTTGAACATAAGATTATTGCATTATATTTTTACCAGTGAAATATTGATTATTAATCATTTTATAAAATGATATTTTTTCCCTGAGTGAAAATTATGAAAATGATATGTTTTCACAAGTGAAACACAACTGGGGAAGGCACAACGGTTAATTTCATAGTCAACTTTCATTGTCATGAAAGCAAGCAGCAAACAATTCCAACTGTTGTGGGAAACTCAAATCAATGAAGCACATGTTAGCGTCTCCATGTCTCCAGTTAGGCCAGGCAATCGGCAGAAATTGTAAACAAATCGGGGTATTCTCCAACAGTGACAGCAATTAAATATAACTTGCAGAGGTCGTTTTGATACAACAACTCCACTCCCCGCCATTTTAGATTCGACGCTTATCAACAACGCTTAGTGATCTGAGTTGATATGACGAGACTTTCATTATATACTTACATTTGTGATGTAATTTGCTATACTTTATCAAAAATATGAACTTAAATATCTACTTTATTGAAATAATTTATTAAAGGAATTCCATTATGACTTTTTAAATAATTTAACATTCCTGTACATAGAACTATATTTTGTCGCATAGGGTTGTTTAGATATGCTAGAGATAAAAGGATTCAGATCAAGTCTTTGTTAGCTTGATGTGTTGCGTCGGTTTTCAGGGTAGGTTTTTATGAAAACAAATGTCATAAATAGAATAGCTTACAGTGTGGAGCATTCGTGAAAAATATCAAAACATTAGCCACACTAGTGAAATATATTTGGTATTTCTGAAAACACTGCTAGATATCCGCTATTTCTCCAAAAGTATTGCAACTTCAACAGATTGGTTTTGGTATCACTGATGACACTTATTCATCACAACATCAATGTAAAAGGTTTATTTTTATAAAATAGACCGAGGAAAACAGTATCAAAACCGCTGACAAGTTGATTGGTGTAAATACAAAGGTTTTGTGATCCGTGTTATCAGAATATTAACATTTTAAACATATGTCAATATATACCCTACCCTGGTGTTGGTTGATTGGTTGGTTGTTTATTTATTTAGAAATACTTTAATAGCGTCCTTGTGATCTTTACAATGAGTTCCTAGCGTTTTGCCCATTTATTGGTTCAGGCAACTGCTTCTGACAACAACATCAGTTGAATGTTTAACCCATAAAGTAAACGAAAGCACTTCTTGTCTATGCATTCAGTTGGTATCTTACCCCTTGAACTTAGTGGTCACGAGTTTGAGAAAATCTTTCATTGCTCCTTCCTCTGCTTTGCTTGCTGCCTTCTTGATGACTTCATACATCTTTTGTAGGTATATAGAGTCTTGGACAACATACCGAACTGATAACATATAATTTACAATAAAAAAATATTATTTGTAGTGCTAATTTGATTATCTTTACTGAGCTTAGAAAATTGAGGTTGAAGACTCACAGATAAATTTTCTGTTTGTAATAGAATGACTGTTGATTAATCATCTTAAATTAATTGTGATGTCTGTATATATCGTCCTGTAACATCATAAGAGCGTTTGTGACAATTGGATCATTTCTATTAACCGCAAAATTAAAGAAAACAAATACGTTTTCAATTTATAAACACAAAACAGGCATATGATTCAGTACTTGGATTGTATCTTTTTGCATTTTACATAGTGATATATAAGCAATATGGAAATGAAAGAAATAATACCAAACTCAATCGCATCGAGTGATCCATCCTTAACACCTTGGACAAATGGCGTTGACAGAGCTTGTTTCCATTGTTTCTCTGATCCATTCCAAAGGAAGTCGAAATTGCTTCCCTATAACAAGATGAAAAACACATGTTCACGTTCAACCAGTTAATTGTGAAATAGGATTTCGACAACCTTCTCCAATATACTAGTTAACAAAAACAGTATATTTATGGTGGTTAAAAGTGGTACTTAATATCATTTTTTTCCGTTATACTAAAATTGATCTCTTAATTCGTTTACTGTTGTCCAATGTAAGAATAAATAACAAAGTAAAATGCTTTGTTTTTACTTACCCTATCGTTTGATGTCATGCTGATAAGGTCTGACGTGTTGTTAAATGAAAAAATGGAATTTTAATATTTTGTTTTATGTTTGGTTAGATGGCATATACTCGCAACTGTACATAAGTAGATACACGATTTTCAATTATTTGTCCACTGACAAGTGTCTTTGCTTAGTCATAGGTGGACACTGCAATAAGTTTTTAAAGATTATTCTAATAATATGTTTGCGAAAAAATGACAAACAAATGATAAATATCAAAAGTAATTGCAACGTAACACCGACAATTTTAATGTTCTTAAAATCGACTTGAAATACTTTCTTTTTCGGATAATACTCACCGTCGCCAAACTCATTGTTTTCCTAAATTCAACGACTTTTAGCAGATATTCAAGAAATTATCTACAAATGTAATTGTAATGTTAATTTAGGTATCTAACTTCAGTTGAAGTTGTATTTTCTAAAAGACCGAATGATTGCTTTACTAGACAGTCTTCAAGAAAAAAAACTTTCGTAAAAAAATCTGACACAGAAACTGAAATTGCCCCGCTATGAGGTATTTATTCTTACTCATAAATGCATAGGACTAGCTATTTGTACACCTGTTTAATTGTAACATTGTTAACAATGTTCTTGTGAAAGCTTTTCCCTGAAAAAACTCATTTCTTTAGAGTAACATTAATCGAAGTATATCTGTATTTGAATTCGTTTGCATATTAAATAGCATGCGTTTTGAGATAAAAATCTTTATTTTCAATTGTATGAATTGCTTGGTGTGTTGTATGAAATTGAATATTTTGTTTATAAAAAGGAAGGTGAAGATATCCTGCAGATCAAATAACGGAGTTATATTTTTCTAGTTACTCTAAAGTTAAACCAAACTATATATATTGTCATATATCAGCTTTTTTCTCCTTCTTTTATTAATTTCAATCGTCATTATGGTTATTCATAAAAATACTAGATGTCATTTATTGTGCCGCAGCAGAAAATTACATAAAACTTAATTACTTTTGAAATAAAAACGACTTTAATTCAGATAACAAAAAATTTTTATATACATTTTGCTTAGCTTCATTACACGTCGTCAAACTTAGTATTATTTACATGAATTGTGACAGTAAGCATTGATAATTACAATAACCGATACAGCTGGATATACGTATGTGGTGTATTGATCCAAGAGATAAGATAATGTAACACATTGGACCATTTAACAAGCTCGATTAAAAAAGATTTATCTAAATTTGTTTTATATTTGTATACAAAGTACACTATTTCACCGACTAGGCATACTACATGTATGAAGCGTAGCATACAGTGTTTGTTGATACATGCAAATGTGAACAGAATTGTGATAAAGTGGATGAGCATGTGATAAAAGAAACAATGATCAAGACGGAGAATCAATGTAAAAAACGGCACCGTTTAATACCATACACAATCTCTCATACATAAAGATATGGCCAGAAGAACAACTCGGGTGTATGTAGGAAGTATAAAACAGTACGTATAAGAAGTATATTAATTGCATTGTTTCAAATGCAAAACTATTTTAACTAAAATAAACATTAAGCAAAAATCCATTATATAATAGTTCTAGAAATCCATATAAGCTAAAACGATACACGGTAAAAATGTCCGATACCAAATGTTATTATGACCTCATAAATATTGAAAAATATATTCCATTTCTTATATCTTAATTTTCAAATGCTTTTAATGTATCGAGTTAAGTCCGAATAATATAAAGATGCAAATATTTTTGCTACGTTCATGCACGGTGCAACTCGGAAAATAACAGTGTGTGTTTTCGCGGGAAACTTTGAAACGTTCGTTGGAGATCAACAACAACAACATAATAATAAAGTTCCATTTTCAAAAATTAATTTTGGGAATAGTACAAATGGTATGTGAAATACATTGGTTTTTAAAATAAAAGTACTTTATTCCCAAAATAAAAAATATATAATATTTTATGTCCAAATGTTCATTTAAATCAGCTTAATAACAATAACCTGCAGACAAATTCGCGGCAGACGGTAAACAAGCAACATTTTTTATGTCTGTGTTAGGTAAGGCGGATCGCCATTTTGTTCACATGCGGCATATGAGTTAGATTGGCTGCACACCTTAGTTGCAATTACATCCATGGAAAACAGATTTATACTGGAAACCAGAGGTAAATGATGTTACACTCGATTACTGGAGGAGATTTGGTACATGTTTAACCGACAGAGTGTTTGTGTTTGGTTTGAAGAAGATGACGAAACCTAAGTGGATAGGGGCACAAGTTTCTAAGTTGGTACTTTTTCTTTCCCTTGGACAAAAACAGCCAATACGTTGGAACGTGTTTTTTTTTTGTGCTGCGGAGAATGTTCGCTTCGATGTCCTGTCATTGAAAAGAGATAAGTTCTGCACTCAAAATTACAATCATTAGATATCATGTTTATATTTTGAATGGCAGTTGGTCGTGTTAGTTGAGTAGCGTCTGCAGTGTATCAATGCGCAATATAATAAGGCCACCTGTGTTATACAAAGCAAATAACGTTCTCGTCAATGGATTCAAACATACATAATGTACATGTTGATAATTGAACATAATTAACTGCAAATATAAAGACAGCGCAATAAAAGAGGTAATAGTTAAATATAGATTTTCTTTAACACTCATGCTAATGCAAACAGGGTAGGGGATATTTTTCAATCAAAGATATATCTGAAAAACGATACATTCTTTGTGCGACTCCTCGTATGTCAAAGCACCATATTGAGCTATAAAAAGAATTAAAGGTACAATTAGCGTCTCGCACTAATATGGAATCTCCCATTTCAAAGAATATATACATATGTATACTATATACTATTGGCATACACCGAACACTGGCGACGTGAAAATTATTTTCCAACAATACATTTTTTTTTCGTTATGTTTTATTATAATTATGGATTAACCTTAACATTGTACTATAAGATACACAAACGATATATTATATCCAAGTATTTACTTTTATTGTACTTATTTGTCATAGCAAAAGATACAATGACCTAATATATATTTATCATTCTTTTAGCATAACAGCTAAAATCCTGTTGACACGATTTATTTTAAGTATTTAACCACTGACATACAACATACAATCAATTTTGATGCAAGACGATAAAATCAGACGTTCAGTTTGTTTGCTCATTCTCTAAACATTGCTTTTTCTATAATACTTATGCCAATATTGCTCAGAAACCATCTTATAACTAAGTGTCGCATATAAGAAAATACACGTAACATGGTTGTGCTGTACCGTAACGTTATTAATAGAATGTCTTTTGAGAAATGTAAAATGGCTTTACGTACTAGGAATATCATATCTATTTTTAATTTCCGTGTTACCAATACAGAAGGAAAATATTTGCTGTCAAACAGACGTCATACAAATAAAAAATCAAGACAGATAATTCCTAAATTAAGAGGAAAATGGACCTGTTAATATCATCAATACAGTTGTTGGTTCTGTGATATTTGACTGGAATAAAAATAAATTCAAAAGATATAAGTAAATGAAAAATATGGACACATTTTGTGGTCCCCATCATAAATTCATTGGGAGATATGCCGTTTCTCTGAGTGATATAAGATTACCTTTCAAATTAGTATCAAATGGAAACGAATCCAAAACTTTCATACTAACTGGATATAATGATTTCATATTGCAACTATGATGTCATATGGTTTTATGTCCAGATGATGATATTGCAATTGATTCTTCTGTTTGTGTAAAAAGCTTAATTAAATTAGTATATGACACCAGTTACATAATATTTATGTATCACAAAGAATTCACACGAACAAACTCACTTCTGTTATGTGGGGGAAAAGGTATGGTTGATCTTGAGCCAACCACCCAGTGCTGGAGAGCTAAGGATTTTAGATGGTCAGACGCCTTAGCTGATCGGCAACCGTGGCACTAATGTTGGCAAAACAATATATGGATATATATATAAGTATCCTGATACTGATAATGAAAGTAAGATTACAAAGGCTTGAGTCGAATAGGAATGGGGAAGCTGTGGGCATTTGATATCTATGAACAGCGAATGGTTATACAGCCTTTGTATATGTATCGGTCATTGCTGAAAAGGAGGCATCATAGGATCAAAATTTAATAGGAAGAAACTCCCTGTACATCATATATACCATCAACTGGAAAGATAACCCATACCATGTAGAGAGGTATATGCATAACGTATTTGGGCCTGACCGGTGTAAAGGTCCGTATCACCGTTCTAGATACATGTAGCTGTCCTTAATAGCGTCTGATACAGTTCGTGCCTGTTGACAAGGGGGACAAAGGTCAATATTCAGTGTTTAATCATCATTGATATAAGTAAGGCGGCAGGCTATGATGTCCGAAAAACGGATATAAACAGGAATACAGAGGTAACTGATGCTAAACTCGCTTAATGGAAGATATTTTGTATAGCCGAGAGTTGTTTGAGTTTGGTTCACAGTGGGTGATGGCACCTATACAATTTTTGAGCTGCGGAAAATGACCGGTGATATGATCAAAAGAAAGAATCGCTTAGATCATCCGTCATGAAAAAAGATACAGTATGGGCATTTTAGAATACCATGATTTAAACGTTTAAAGGCAATGTCTCGCCCGTATATTGGTTTTCCCGTCTCAACAGTTATGTAGGTGTAATATGTGCATAAACCGAGGTTATTCCTGCGAAAATGGCAACGTGACAATGCTTTTTCAACAAAACATGTTTTTGTGAATTTATTTTAAATCTTTCATTAAGTGTGTTTACCGTTACATTGTATTTTATCAAACATGAATTATGTATCATACCTCAGTACTTTCTTGTATTTTACGTATGTATCATCAAAGAAAATATAATTACCTGTCATATAAATATATTTATCTACCGATAAGATCATACTATAATCCTCCTAACGCGAATTTTTAATCATATTTTTAAATATTACCGACAGAAATATCCCTCAATTACCCTCTATGCAAAACGAACAAAATCATGCTTAAAACTTGTATGTTAGTAATTAATTCTTTTAACATTGTTTTTCAATTATACTTACGCTAATATTGTTCAGAATCCGTCTTGTAGGTAAGTGTCTCATATAAGAAAACACAATGTTTTAAGTTTCTCATTGTATTTATAGTCTTCGTAATTCTATTCGCGGTTGTGCTGTAACCTTTAACCATAACAAAAGACACACTACTTTCAGTTTACCTAACACTTATAGTTTTTGTCATTCTTTTTGGGGTTGAGCTGTACCCGTAAGTCATTTATAGAATGTCTTTTGAGAATTTGTTTTACTAGGAATAGCATATCTA